GCCATGATGAGGTGAGGTGTTCTTATAATGGATGTACTAAGTCTGGTGAAAATCAAGCAAATGTCATTTTCTGCATTTTGCCTTTGTACTACTCCTTATTTTTGGCTCATGATACAAAGGACGATAAAGGAACTGACAAATAAGGGTCAAAAGTCAATTTTGAACTCAATATTTTTCACATACAAATATTTCTTCATTATAGCGACTACTTGTCACATTTTGGGAGCCCTGCCTATTATACTTTTGTCTGGACACAACAGAAACTTTGAAGTCATTTTTCTCAGTTTCACACTCTGGTGAGTTAACGTCTTTTGCCTTTGTAGGACAGTACTGGACCTTTAATGCCATACTGCTGAACATTATTCATAGTCAAAGCAAGAACATCTCCATGGAGACAAGACATGCATCCCCTTCACCAGAAAAATTACACATTGCTAATTTAATGTTCCAAACCAATCATAGTTCCAGTAGAGCCGATGTAAAAAGAAACACAGGCCTATGTAGTATAAATATATTGTAAAAGTGAGATCCTGCACAGATACAGGTCAGATACTTCTGTAAATACCGTCATGTTTCAGTATCACGCTGTATCTGACACACTGTGAAATAATGAGTCTAAATACCTCCTGCACATTCCACTGAGTTCATGTTTGAAATCTCTTATCTGTGGTTCAGTCCGTAACCTTTAACCGCCTCTGGTCAGTGCGATGAAAAAAGAACACACACACGAAGTACTGCTTTCTGATTAATTACAAGTATTTACCAGTGGAAGCACGATTTTGTTACTTAAAGGTGCAATGTGCAGCTGGAGATGGAAATGTTTTTGCTTTGCCTGAATGTTCCATAATATGACATTAAACATTTCCAACAGGCAAATTCATTATAGGTGTTTCTGTTCCTTCTGTAAAGAGGGGCGACTCTCCACAGATCTGAACTGTAATGTAGAGTAGTGCTGTAACCTGCTTGTCTCTATTGTGATAGATACTGTAGGTTTAATCTATACTGTGGAACATGATAGACAAAACAATAACATTTCTATGGAGACAAGCAGGTGGCGGACCCTCCACTTAAAGTAAAAGTGCAGATACTGGAGCAAAAAAAAAAACTCAACTAAAAGTAAAAGTATCACATTAAAAAAGATCTACTTAAGTAAAAGCGTTAAAGTACCTGTTTAAAAATGTTCTTTAAGAGTAAAAAGTGAAAATATTTTGTGCAGATTTTGAGATCTAATAAAACTTTAAATTCAGTGATTTTAATGAAGATTTGGGCAGAATTTTGTCAGCAGAAACAATTTAATCAATAGTTTTGTTCTAACTGTTTTTATTTGTATGTTTGTGTTTGCTCAAACTATAATAAAATATCCTTTTAATTTTCAGTCCTGTTCAAAAATGTAGTGGAGTAGAAAGTACAGGTACCTGCTCTCAAATGTTGTGAAGTAAAAGGAAAAAAGTATCCACTTAAATATGTACTTAAGTAAAGTACAGATATTGTACCTAATTATACTTGATGACTACACTTCATACTTTGTTATGTTCCACCACTGCAAGTATTACTGTCAACAATAAAACTATTAAACAGTCATTACTGACACAATTTACTGCTGTTTATTTTGTATATATTGAATACATAACAGTATATTTGATGTTAGAATACAACATCTACATTCACTTCATTCATCTGTTCATTTAAAGAGAAATTATTATTTTACAACATAGCTATAGATAGTAATAATAGATAGATGATAGATAGATTAGATAAACTGAAAAAAACAAACAAAAACAAAAAAAACAAACAAAAAAAACAATATCTAGGTAAGTTAAAATCACTTAAATTAAGAACATTTTACTTTATTTGATAGATGATCAATAGATCAATAGACCTGGATCAGACCAGGACCCAAGAGCGGGATTCGAACTGGCAACCTTAGATCAGTGGATGAACACTCCAAAATGTGCTACTGTTACATCCTGTAGATCAACGGTTTTCAAAAGGTGTGGTCCTCCTCCCCTGGGAGGCACCAAAGAGCCACTGGGAAGGAACGATACACACGGACTAAACCAGGACTAAACCAGGACTGAACCAGGACTGAACCAGGACTGAACCAGGACTGAACCAGGACTGAACCAGGACTGAACCAGGACTGAAAGGACCAGGACTGAACCAGGACTGAACCAGGACTGAACCAGGACTGAACCAGGACTGAACCAGGACTGAAACCAGGACTAAACCAGGACTAACCAGGACTTGAGGACTGAAACCAGCTTCACCTGATTGAGCTTTGCAGGCACCCTGCTCCACAGATTCTCTCTCTCTCTCTCTGTCTAAGATCTCCAAGAGTCCAAGGTTAGACCTGGTTTAGTCCTGGTTTAGTCCTGGTTTAGTCCTGGTTTAGTCCTGGTGTCCTACTGATGTTCAGTAATGTTAAAAGTTACCTCAATTAGGTCTGCATGAAGTTGGAAATTATTTGCTGTTGCAAAAATTGTTTTTGCATGTACTGAATGCATGAATGCAAAAAAAGAGAAAAGAAAATACAATATTTAAATGATCAGTTACTGAAACTCATCATTGCCAGGAACACTATAGATGCATTTACTTCAAAGGCCTGAGTGTGTGTGTGTGTGTGTGTGTGTGTGTGTGTGTGTGTGTGTGTGTGTGTGTGTGTGTGTGTGTGTGTGAAAACTCCTGCTGTAGATGGATGGAGAGAGAGAGAGAGAGAGAGAGATTGATAGATTGATCTGAGATAGATAGATAGTAGTGATCACAATAGATACTTCTAGTGTAAGTGTAGCCCAGAGAGTATCTTTTCTTTTCCAGCGTGCCTCGTTGTGTGACTGCTGCTGTGTGTGGTCAGCTCCACTCCTCTGCTCCTGGAATGTTCCTCCCTCACATCCACTCTTCTCAAATGGACACACCTTTTTATCTCTCTTTTTATCTCTCCCTCTGTCTCTACCTCCCCCCTTCTCTTTCTGATACACATGGTCTTCAGCTGGACACACCTTTTTATTTTTATCTCTCTTGCTCCCTTCTTTCTCTGATACACATGTTCTTTGGATGGACACACAGTTCTCCTGCATTTCTGCTCTCTCTCTCTCTCTCTCTCTCTCTCTCTCTCTCTCTCTCTCCTACCTCCCTTTTCTCTCTTCCTTTACTTCCATCAGATCACAATGTTCATAATGGATACTTTAACATTCTTTCTTTTCTCTCTCTCACTCTTTTCTCCCCTCTCCCTCACCTCTCTCTCCACTGCTTTTGGTCTTTTTCTAGCTCCTCACTTGCTTTCTCCCAATCCCTCTCTTTCTCCTTCTTCCTCTCTCTCTCTCATCCACTTCTTCCCTCAGATCCACTGCTCATAATACGGACACACCTTTTTCTCCATTTCTCTCTCTTTCTCTCTCTCTTTACTTTACCCCTTTCTATCTTCTCTTTCTCAGCTCTCTTTCATCAATCCTCCCGTCTTCCTCCCTCTCTCTTACTCTCTCTCTCACCCCATCTCTTTTCTCCCTTACTTCTATCTCATCTGCTTTTGATCTCTCTATCTCCTCTCTCTCCTTTATCCCCTTTTTCTGTCACCCCATCTCTCTCTCCTTCTCTCTCCCTCACGTTCGTTCTCTCTCTCTCAGTCCCTCTCTCTCCCAACCATTTCCTTCTTTCTCTCTTCCTTCTCTCGCGCTCCCTCTCACTTCTAACCCTCTCCCTCTTTCTCTTGGTCCCTCTCTCTCCTCCCAACCCTCTCCCTCTTTCTTTCTCTCTCTCTCTCTCTCTCTCTCAACTCTCTCCTTCTTTCATTCTCTCTCTCCCTCTCTCACACCCATCTCCCTCTTTCTCTCTCTCCCTCTCTCTCCCAACCCTCGCCCTCTCTCTCCCTCCCTCTCTCACATCCATCTCCCCCTTTCTCTTTCTCCCTCTCTCTCACAACCCTCTCCCTCTTTTTCCTCTCTCCTCCTCTTGCTCCCTCTCCCTCCCAGAGCCTCCCTCTTTCTCTCTCTCCCCCCCTCTCTCAGCCCTTTCCCTCTTTCTCTCTCTGCCTCCTTTCTCCTGTCTCTCTTTTTATCTCTCCCCCATCTCGCTCTCACTCTCCAATCCCTCTACTTCTTTCTCTCTCGTCTCCTCTTGCTCCCTCTCTCTCCCAACCCTCTCCCTCTTTCTCTCTCTCACTCCCTCTCCCTCAACATTCTCCCTCTTATAAAAATGGTTCTCATCATATCTGTCAGGAAGATCCTTTGCAGTCAAAGTTGGTGAGAGATTGTCTACCCCTGCTTCTGTCACGTGCGGCCTGCCCCAAGGGTCCATCTTAGCGCCTCTTTTATTTTCTCTATACATGCTCCCCCTGGGTTCAATCCTAGAAAAACATCAGATTAAGTACCACCTTTATGCTGACGACACCCAGCTCTATCTTCCTGTTTCCCCAAAAAATGTCTCATCCTGTGCTACCCTCCATACCTGCCTTGCGGAAATAAAAAACTGGATGTCCTTTAACTTTCTCCAGCTAAATGAAAATAAGACTGAAGTTATTCTATTTGGACCTTACACTGACACCCTCACATCTGACCTTGGACCTCTTGCCACAAATTTGCACAGATCTGCAAAGAACCTTGGTGTTTTTATGGACTCACTTTTAAACTTTGACAAACAGATCTCATATGCCATTAAAACTAGCTTTTTTCAACTCAGACAAATTGCCAAATTAAAAACAATCCTATCATGCAATAACTTTGAAACAATCATTCACGCCTTTGTAACAAATTAGACTGGACTACTGTAATGCACTGTATTCAGGCCTCCCACAATCCTCCCTCAACAGGTTACAGTTAATCCAAAATGCTGCTGCCAGACGCTCACCGGTTCCAAAAAGAGAGACCATATTACACCCATCCTAGCCCAACTCCACTGGTTACCTGTTAAATACAGAATTGATTTTAAAATGTTACTGTAAAATATTTGAGCCCCAAGAAAAGAAACCTGAGTTAAGACACACTGAGGTCGGACAAAAGTTTGTGTACCTGTGTTATAAGCCAAAGCTGACACGGGGCTCTTTTGTGGAAGCATGCTTTTCATTCGTGTTGCCTCTTCAGGATGATTGAACCGGAAGAAATAGGATTTGCCCAGACACAGCGAGTAACCTGCAAAAAAGAAACACACAAACTTAACTTCCTCTTCATCATTGAGATTTATAAGCCATGTATTCTTTATATATTTGGCCTTTGAATGGGACCAGAACTCAAGATACAAAACCTTTATATTACTGTGTTTTGTATTGTAGGGATAGGCGACAGCAGGTCCAGTATTGAAAGTTTAGAAGACATTTGGTACAATTTTCTTCTTCTGTTCCAGTCTAGGTGTGCCTATGTGTCAGTCCTAGTTTGTCTTCAGTGCATTTCGATGATTAGGCCTGTCATGATAAATACATCAACTTCATAACTTTTGGGAGTCAGTTTTTATTTAGGGGACTTTCTCTTTGTACTGATTGGAAATTTTTGGTTATTATTCTGTATTATGATACGATTTGAACTGCAGAAGGTTGAAATCTGAACTTTTATGACTCATTATAGATACAAACTTAGTACTTAAGTGTTGCATTCTGTCATTTATTTATGGCAGCTCATATTTTTTACAATATTGTACATTTTGAATACTTTTTGGGGGATAATTTCGCTTTATGTTTTGATTACAATATTATTGCTTATTGTCTATATCTACTTTGGCATTTGTACTGTCATGACAGCTAATATTTTATTTGATGTAGGCCGATCATTATCTGCTCAAAAAAGTCCATATCGAACCCTCCCTATCGCATTGTCTACTGTGATTTATGTCTCATCCCACATCTATTCTTTCTAAGCCGAGAGTTATTTCAGGAAGCACATTTGGCATTAAACCGATACAAAATACAAACAGCTGCACACAAAAAGTCATGGCAATGTGATTGTCAAATATTATGAATGACACTGTTTAATAATATGGATGGGATACAATTTCCAACAGATGAGACATGAGATGCAGTCTATGTGAAAAAGACAAGGTAAGATTTTGACTAAAGACAAAATAAACTAATTGTACAGGTCAGTTCACAATTTTGGCCTTATCATTTTTTATTTATTTGATTTTATATTCTTATCACCATTGCTTTTTGGAACTACAGCTTCTCAAAGTACGTAACTCAGCAAAGCGAACCCTTTACTGCAAATGGAAATGTAAACACATGGATCTCAAGATAATTTTTTCTCATTCGTGCACAGTCTATTCTCAACCCAAACTACTGAAAGTGTTGACAGTGAGTAGAGCTTTTACAATACAGTTTAAGTGTAATAGAGAAACAGTTAGTCCAGTTTTGAATGTAAGCCCGTAAAGCCACACACATAAACGCCTGCTTGTGGTGATTTTGTCAAAGCCATGCCGGGACCACAGTGTTTACTCTGGCCATCATTTAAGGAGAGAGAGCCAGGTATTAAACAAGATGTCAGGGTCACAACCTCTGCAATACACACAGCCAACCACAGCTGTCCAAATACTTCTGTAGAGACCGAGAGAGAGACACACGCACACAGGAGGGCCGACATAATGCAGAGAGGAGCAAAAATAAATACGGATACAATGATGCATATTCTAAGGAGGAGCAGAGTCTCTGTCACTGTTATGCACGTGTTTCTTCTCCCATTCAGATAAGCATGACAATACTCCCCAGTTCACATACAAGTGTGAAAAGTCTGTAATAGTCCTGTTAAAGTTATACCAAATTCCTTAGACCTAAGTCACACATAAAAACAGTTTTAGTGGAAGAGAGTAGGTCATAAATTAGAATCAGATCAATAGTCCAATGAGGTTCATTTGGTCTTCTGATAATTTATGCTATTAGGTTCTTTTTTCAGACCAAGAGTTTGTTTTCATACCTGACCGTTTCGACAGCTCACTAGCGCTCTTCCTCAGAGTGGTCACATGATGCACCTGTATAAATCAACTGACCGGACATGTCACAGCAACATCAGGTGACCACTCGGACGAAGAGCGCTAGTGAGCAATCGAAACTGTCAGGTATGAAAACAAACTCTTGGTCTAAAAAAAGAACCTAATAACATAGAATCAGATCAACATTAAAGGGCTAATTTAAAAAATACCGCTTCCTGACATCACAAGTTAGAACGGAGCATTTTGAGCTTTGTAGATGTAGGACCTTTCAACTGACCAGCTCATATTCTCAAAACACAAAGGTAGGGTGAGGTAATTATTTAGGCAATAGAATGTCTTATGTTGATGATGACAAGATATATTTTATTTTTATGTATAAACCTCTAAACTCGCCTCTCCACAGATTTGACCTGTAACTTGGTCTGGATTGGTCTCCATGAAGACAGAAAGATTTAATACCAACTATGAAATATTCCAGACAAAGCAATAACATCTTCATGGAGAAAAGCATTTGACGTTGTGTTTAAAATGTACACTGAACATGAACTGAACTGCAAATCTAACCAAAGTCCTTGAACTGTTATTTTCCCCAAAATCCTGCAGCTCTGGAGAAAACAGATGCCAAAAATGGAGTGAATGAAAAAAAAGTTCAAATTATTCATCGTTCTCTCTTATTTTCTCTCTCAAACCAAATCGTCCGTTTAACACGAACAAACCCAAATGCAAAGCTATAGTTCACCTTAAAGAGGTCATACCTGTCTAGACATCACTGGAGATTACCATGTGTGCAGTCCAAGCAGATTTTTACCTTCAAAGCAGTAATTTCTAAACACACAAAAGAGACCTGGGGTGAGGTAGAGCCAACCAACACCACACACACACAGACACACACACACTCGAACACACTGACACACACATTCAAACGATGTATGAATGTTTAGTCTACACAGCTGGAGTGTGAAGCCTTCAAATATATACTTTTGTAAACACTATCTTGTCCAACTGCGATGAAAAAGTGGCACCATGACACAGAAAGATCAAAAGGAAGTTGAAGAAAAGAGGAGCGTGTCTGGACCTGTGACAAAACAAGCCTGATAATGATATGTTGTCATTAATAGTCATTAGTAATACTGTATTTGTGATTTTAACAGGCATGTCCCAACAATGTCTCTGAGTCACAGTAAGGCTGGATATTTAACAGTAAACACACGCGCACACAGGCACACCGGGCACATTGCCAGATCTTGTAAAAATCTCATTTCCGAGTCTCTCCAGCCCTGCCATGTGCCACCTTTAAAGCGCAGTTAAATTGTGTTGTGCCCTGATTTAGTGATTTACTAGCCAGACTGCTGAGATGCCTGTTTTAATGTCCCTAACTCCTTTGCTAACAAATAACAACCCGCTAATCCTTTCTCCTCCTACCTCAGCATAAAAGGAAAGGGCCATAAAAGTGTTTGTGAATTAAATTAGCACTAGTGTTTGATGCGCAAACATTATTTTCAACGTGTTTAATTTAATTTAAGTCTAACATATCTATAATATCTAACATCAGTGCCACAAAGCAAAGTATCCATGTAGGGCTGCACAATTCTGGAAAAAATATCTAATTGTGATTTTTCTATTGCGATTCAGATTATATTTGCAGAATATGTTCAAAAAGTACAATTCTTTTCATAGTGCACATTATACGCAACTCCAATAGCATTAACATTTGAGGAAAGACTGAAATATGAACTTGTAGTACAAGTTTTTTCAATAAAAAGGCAGGATATTTAGTTTCGTAGTATTTAGTTCTCTGCTGTGGATATTGTATTATATTAAAAATGCTGTCAAATTGCAGTTTCAGTTAGATTGCGATATACAGTGCAGCCTTAACCCAAACGCATAAATGCCACTTAAAAAGAAATATATTTTGAACTATATATATATAAAACTACAACTACTATATAGCCTTTATAAAACTTGATATAACTTGGTCCAATAACATCTGGTAAAAGCAGAACACCCCAATCCAATCAAAACTGTAATCTTAACAGGCTCCACACTGCCAACATTTAAGACATTTGTCAGAAATAACTACAGAAACACATGCTCTCTTCACACATAAATAGACAATCCATCCACAACAAAAAGCATCTAATCTGCTTCACGTGTTTGCTTATTTACCCATAAACCCAATTTGCCTCCCATGTTGGAAGTGTGTCCCTGTCATCCACATGTTATAGTAAACGCCAAAATGTACAAAAGTTGAAATTAGTCTGTATACATTTATAGGATAATTTAAAGTTTGCGATCTACAAAGTCAGACCTCAAGAGCTTTGAGGAGACAGATGTAGGAGCTGTGTAGGGTCTGGAGCCAATTTCAGTCCCCAGTAAAAGATTGGAGTAAACCTAGGAACACTTACCACAATGTTATGGGATGGGAAACTTAAACTACTTCAACGTAAGTGGATGAAGTGACAAATTAGACCTATTAACTTTGAATGAATAATAAACCAACAACCCATGACACACACTCAGTCTTGTACAAAACTTTGTTACAGTGCTAATTGATAAGATACTCTGAGTAAAGCATGCCAGTCTTTTCCATTATAATTAAGTTCAGGAATGCTAAAAATGTTGATGTTATTTTTAGAGTTGTGCCACAGACAAATGTCAGGCCATTTACTTTTCCTCATTCATAGAAAGACAGAAATGCATTCCTATGGGACTCAATTGGCCGGAAAACCACAAGTAAACCTCGTCAGGGGATCAAGGGTCCAGGAGCAAAATCATAAAACAACACTGGTCTGTCTCAAGGGACCTCTGGCAATTAGTTTAGGCACTCGCTCAGTTTAGACTCCCTTCTCCTCACATGACTACAAATATAGCGAATATGTAGGGAAATATAAAAATAAAAGTGTTTGTTTAAAATTGATGAAGTATAAATCACATTGGCATGTTTTAAGTGTAAAAAACATTAGCGCTTAAGGCAGAGAAAAAACACAATGCATTTATGAACAAAGTAGCAGGTTTCTTTCAGGTGTCAGGTGGCGGAGCAGTGTCTGTCTTTATAGCCACAGGCGACTGCTCCTTTGTCGCATGGACTCATGGCTGCCTGTGAACTTGCCTGATTATTTATGGCCCCGAGGAGCACCCAGGTCACTTTCATCCAAATGTGCAAAAGACTTTCTACAACAAAGATCTGAAGAAAGAAAATGTGTCCATGAAAACTAAATGATAATCAAATGCAGTAGGCCTACATAAAACACTCTCAATGTGTAACTGTGATAGAGCAAACCCAGTGGAATGTAACAAAGTAAAAGAAGTACAATACTGTACTTAAGTACTATACACCATTTTAGGTATGTGTGCTTTATTTTAGGACATTTTACAGTGGATACTTTATACTTTACTAAATTTGAGAGCAGATATCTGTACTTTCTACTCCATTATATTTTTGAACAGGATATAAAAGTGAAAGTGTTTTCAATTATTGTTTGAAACCTGCTGAAAAGGCGCAGTATTTCTTTTTAACATGTTCTTAGTTTGAGCAAACAAAAATAAACAAATAGGAAAAAGGTAATTGTTTCTGTTGAACAAAATTCTTTATCAAAATCACTACGTTTCAATCTATAATCTATAATCAAATATTTTAACTTTTTACTCTTTAAGTACACTTTTAAATGGGTATCTTACTACTTTTATTTTTTGTGTGTGATACTTTTACTTGTTTTTTGTTTTTTTTTGCTCCAGTATCTGTACTTTTTCTTAACTAATAAAATTGATTACCTCTTCCACCACTAAGCAAACTTCAGAAAACCTTGGCAGTGAGATTAAGCAATACAGTGACTGGCGATGAGCCCTAAGCATCACAATAACAGAGAAATAGTGTAAAATGCCACTTTTTATTTATAACACCTGTGCAGAGGCATATGTTTAACCATGGGCTTTGTTCAAAATACCAGCTGATGTGCAAATGATCATCAAACTGAATAATAAGGCTTGTAGGATAAGTATATTCACATTGTGGTTAAAAGCAATTACAGCCTGTCCTTCATTATTGATGGAGCCATAGGGGAAAAAAAGCGTATAAACTGCACTGGGGACTCATGAAATCCCACGAAACAAAATAACAATAACACAATTGCGAAATGTTACCAACTGGCTGTAGTCGCAATAAACACATATACAAACATTAGACTTATACTATTTTAATACCATGTCATAAAGTAGAAATGCACAGACAATGCAGCATCAAAATTACCTTTTCAATTGTTGCATGAGCTACCTTTCCGTGTCCCATTCAGTGAGCGTCAGGACGGTGGATCGCCTTTAGAGTTGCCGTGTTTCTCGTAACATCTACAGCGTTTTTCCCGGTAGATTTGCGTTGTTCCCTTCTTGTCCTCCTCCTCTCAGTGATGGGAGACGGGACGCCCTGCCTGCTTGCCCCGTTTACCCTGCGCCTCGGAAGAAAGTTCACTGATTTACCGTGGCCAGCTCCGAGCCCGGGCTGTACCATTTCCCAAAGGAGAGGGGTGTGTCTCTTGTGGCACTCGTTGGTATTTCACAAAGAGGTTTTAAATTAGATTGACAATTATTTCACAGTAAAAGAAGTATATTAATAAATCTGATTGAAACACCCAAATTTGCCAAATGAAATACTTTAGATTGGCGTTTCTATATTTGGTAGTGGCCAAAGCTAATAGACAGTGAGGTATTTGGTAGACGCCCCCTCGTCTTCCCTTTGTCTGCTTTACCTTCCCTGCTCCTTTCTGTGAGATACAAGCTAAAGGTAGAAATTATATAAACAAAAGTATTGAGGTAGCAGGCTTATACATAATACATTAAATTTTAACCCTATACTGTCTCCCACAGTCTTTCATCCAGGTGTAGGTCTTTTGTTAATGCAGATTTTTTGCTGAGTGAGTAAAAGGGAAAGTGACTTGGAGCAGCTCTGTTTTGTTTGGCTGGTGGATTTGCATATACCTTGGTCAATGTGCCCAGTCAGAGTTTGAGGTTTGCAGGCTAATTTACATCAGTGTGAACTTCAAACCAAAACAAAAGATTCATTCAGACTAGAGAACAAATTAGACCAGTCCTCTTGTGTAGAGTTTCAAATAGGCTAAACTTGATCAAGTTACGTAAATGAACATATTACCAGTAATTTGTAAATAGATTATAGGACTTTTCCATAATGCAAAAGATGTTACTACATTTGCATCAGTAGGCCTAGTTTGAAAGTTGTAGTACTACTCTAATAGTAACATAGTAGGGGTAGTAATAGTGGCACATCCTTTTGAAATGTATATTTCAAAACACATTTGCATCAGTAGGCCTTGTTTTCAAAGTTGTAATAACAACAGTAATATGTGTAGTGTAGTATAGCAGGAGTAATAGTAGTAGAAGTAGTAGTTACAGTGGCACATATTTAGTTAATCTTTGAACAATGCTTGAACTGGGAATTCCTACTTGTGAACAGAGAGATGATCAAGGGACTTCTGGTTCACACACTTCATGAGTTAAAATGTGATGTAATACATCAGTGCTAATCACAACAACAAGTGCATCTGAGAGGTTAACTACCACTTAAATGGTGTACTCATCTGATATCAATTTAATCTGAATAAATGTGGTAGATATAGCATCCTAATTATTCATTTTCAGTGAATGTCTTGTTCCTTGTCTTTCATGTGATGACAGATATTTTGATTACTATTGCGCAGGTCAAGAAGATGTCCAACTTTCAAATTATGTGATTTCAGGCCAAACTCCGAAGTCCCAAATACAGAACAGATCACTTCCTAAACATAGCTAATGATCTCCAGATTCTGAGCTGACGGTGGGCGTGTGTGTGTATGAAGGACTTGTGGTTTTGACTCAGCCCATTTGGATATTACTCCAAGATCCCCACTCTCCCTTTTTCAACATTGTTCCAACCAATGCTCTTTAAGATGACTTTAAGCCCTCCTTTTTTAGCCGTTTCTATGAAGTTCTTTTCTTTTCACAGTTCATTGGCACTGTGGAGACGTACCAAGATGATGTCAAATATTTGAATCAGCTTCTCACAGTGGGAAGATAAATAAACCTGTCAATAGTTAACACAAAATGACCCAGGGACGTAGTACACAATGAAAAGAAGCAAAGTGTAAACAGAAAGCAGGCTCCATGGAGAGGAATAATCTATTTAAATATATTTGTCAATAGGAAATCTAGCCTAAGAAAAAGTACATATTTGTTTAGAGTCAAGAAAGTACCAAAAAGTAAAACTGTGTGAGGAGAGAGGGCAGAGGATTACTAGGAACAGATAAGCAGATAAATACTGGCGGACAAGAGGCAGACCCCTGAACGGTTAGGTCAACATAGATAAGAATACATTGACAAATAACAGATAAAACTCCATTCTCCCTGCTACAGTATCTCAAATGTTTTCCCCAGTTTCACAACACACTGTTAGATGCAGGCTCTGCACTTTATGGAAGCTGTGACTCACAAGTAAGCCAGCTCTCTCTCTCCAAACCACAAGTACACACAAATTAAATACAGAAATACACACACACACACACACACACAGTTTCGATATGTTGTGCAAAAAAGACAAACACATGGTCTCTGCAAGAAGATTTACTAAGCTTGGATAATTCTCCCATCACACAACGTCAGCCATTTCATGTCATCTGTATTACATGTGCCCTTAGCAATGCAATTTTACCAAACCTCAAACTAATTGCTTAGTACTTTCTGGCACTCTCACTGCAAAAAGGGTTGAAAGATTCCAGTAAGCGTACGTTTATCAAATCCACCAGCAGAGGGTGCTATTTCAACACCAGCATTTGTGTGCTAAACCTCAGCCAGTATTCTCTCTTTGTGTTTAATAGGCCTTTGCTTGAACTTGGCCAAGCATGAATGAAGGATGTAAAAAAGGGAAACAAAACAAGACCAAACAACGTTGGCATCCAGAGGCGGCGCTACCATTAGGCAAAAGCAGGCTGCTGCCTAGGGCCCCCAAACTTGTAGGGGCCCCCAACCAATTGCCCTCACTGCTACTGATGGCCGAGGCCTCAGAGCAACTTGATTTTCTCTCAATATGACATTAAATGAGAGTAGTTTATGATTAAACAATAATCATAAGAAAAATAATAATCATATGTAATGCATGTAAACAAAAATTTAATTGTACTAGACTCACTGATCCTCTAACAGGCAACATTATATTATAAAGATTTGCCAGGGGAAAAAAGAGTTCAACATTCTTACCCTGTGTGAGTGGTGTTGGCACAGTGACTTGCACCCCGTCCAGGCTGCAGAGGTGGCCACATGGGTCTAATGTCACAACTCCGCCTGGTAAAATAAAAGAAGTACTGTCATACTGTCATCAATATATTTCATCATTGGTCAATCACAATTTTCATTTTCAGTTTAGTCTTATTAAAACAGACTTTTAATAATTGCCAAGTTTCTTCCTCCTACTGTGAACCGCTCAATTAAAAGGATCCAGATGTTGTTTCAAGAAATCAGAATGTAATTAATCTCAAAGCCTTAGTCCATGGCAATATTATGTAGACAATTTGCTTCTTATATTTACCTTCATTAAAGATAAGACAGTGTTCTGCCTCAATGCCAGGTCCTTCAATTGTGATATCTTGTGGAATGGGGGCATCATCTCGCCCTATACGGGTCACGCCTGAAAAACAAAACAAAAACAAAACATTTATAGATTAAAGTTATAGGGCTTCTTTCTGACCTCACTGACCTTTACATGCCAGTGGGGCTGTTAAACCAATTCCAATTTAATACAGTGTGAAAGGCTTTTGAACTGCAGA